TGCAACTGCAACTGCAAGTGCAACTGCAAATGCAACTGCAACTGGAAATGCAGCAGCAAATGCAACTGCAACTTTTTTCGATTAAATGCCGAGATTCTAAGATACGGCCATTTTTTATCCTTTTTCTCAAAACCTCGGGATCCGATTGCAAAAAAATTCAGCGTCGTCAAATTACCATTATATCAAAAATTCCCACCTTAATCTGAAAAAATTGAAATTTGCCTCTTTTTAACAGGCCTATAAAAAGAAATATATATGTTAACATTAAAAATTGTATTCTTTTATGGTCTTAACGAATTGTAAATTAGACATAATGTTGTGGAAAAGGAATGTACTTTATTCGAAGGACCTATCCATCTAATTTTCTTCCTTCTTTCTCTCTCTCTCTCTCTCTCTCTCTCTCTCTCTCTCTCTCTCTCTCCCTCTCCTTCCTTTTCCTATTTCTCTTTCTTTTCTTCGTCAAACGAGTGAACGATCTGGTTACACCAGGTAATCTATCCTTCGAACGGCCGGTCATGCTAATAAAGCCGGCAGGTATAATGTGGAACGATCGTAAATCTCGTCGGTTCAAGGTACAAACTCGCTCGCACAAGTGCAATACGTCGGTAACGTAACGAGGACGTAAGTTCCAAGACGCTTACTTGGACGTCTAAGGAAACCCGTTACACCAGATGCTTCACCTCGAAAATATCTGTAAGATCATCCCTGTTGTTCCTATCTTATACGTCGATAATGTTATTTAAGAAGATTATCAAATTTCTACCTATCCGATATTATCTTTCTCTATAAATCTACTCTTGTCAGTTTATTTACCATCTTTTTTTTATCTACCTTTATATCTGTCATTTTCTATCCGTTTTAGCTCGACTCTCTTTCTATATACGATATATTCATTCTTTTATTATTTTTTTATACAGTATATTTGTCTTTTTCTATTTGTTAGATCGTCCCAAAGATATTTTGCTTTTTCTTCATAAATTTTACCTATAAAATATTGTTTATTTTATTCTATTTTTTTAACAATAAGTTATATAAAATATAAAGAAATGTAGTTAAGCAGAATAACTAATGACATTATAAATAAATTTAAATAAAACATATCGTATAATATAATTTATTAAAAACTAAAAGCGAGTAACTTTAGGTACCATTTAATATATGAATTTTTTCTAGTATTATCTCTTAATATTAGTTCATCTGTTGTTTTTTCTATTTATTGGAATTTTTTTTTTTAATTGCTTTCTATAAGTTATAATTTGTCTGTATCTAAAAAAATGTGTAAAATTTATATTAGTATTTCTATCTTTATCTGTCTAGATTTGTAATATCTTTGTCTACATCAATCCGTTTTACTCACACTCACTCTATATTCGCTTTGAGCATTACGAAATGGTTCGTCGTAGGTCCCTACCTACTTACCTACCTGCCAGCCCGATGATTGCTGCCTTGCACGGGTTAATAGCAGCCGTGAACATAACGAAGGGTTATGTGGATCGCGAGTTTGTTATTGGCTTGCTTAATGACCCGTTCAGAGCATTCTACCTGTCCGAGACCGGATGCGTGCTACTGCATCCTCGCGAATAGTGACTACGAAAGCAAGAGAGAGACAGATGCAAAGCGAATGAGAGAGAGCGAGAAAGGGTGAGGGAGAGAGTTAGAGTGAGAAGAAAGGGATGAGAAGAGAAAGAGTGGTCCAGGGACGAAATGAAAAATTCGTGATCTGAATTTTGTTTGTAGAAAATGAGAAACATTGGCGTGTAATAATGGTATGCCGATAACGTGACGCCTGACACATGTGTTTAACGATACCAATAACGGTAACACTCGAAATAAAATTCAATATGATGAAACATGGAAAGCTCGTGTTATATGACATATATATGTGATACAAAAAAAGAACTAACTGGTTAAAACGTCGATGAATTTTTAATAAGGTTGAACAAAAAAAGAAGAAGTATATAATATATCTAGAAAAAAAAAATTCGTATTAATTTTTATTAAAATGATATTACCTGAAATTATAAATATATAAAAAAATCTTTTCAATTGCACGATATTGCGCTAACAGAAATTGTTTCTCGCATGGTCGAATTTAAAACTCGACATTTGATTCCACAATGTCGAAAAAGATTAATTACAGTGATTTCTTACTTGTACGAAGTATAGATATAAAAAGAAAGATAATTGAAATAGAGTCGTATCGTTAGTTAAAAAAAAAGAAAAATATATGAGAGATGGAGAAAGGACCTAGGATCTACTTACGATTCTAATGAGTCTCGTTCTCGCGCTCTTACGATTATACAAGCACGAGCGATATTTCGTGATTCGGTTCGTTACATCTAATTGACGGGGCAATGTAAACGATCTCTTTACTCTATGTACTCTTACAACTAAGAAAAAGAAAGAGAGAGAGAGCTTACGACGAACAAACGCATTATGTATATACATACATATATTACGAATGAACGAAAAGAGATGTCGGATAACGACAAAACTAACTAACGAACGAATGGAACTACATGAGACGTTTTACTTCGTCGAAATGAATGCTTCGCGAACACTTTCAAAAGTCTACAAACACCATAAGTAAAATTCGTTAAGCAATCGAAAGTGTATCGAGAAATCTATATATAAGTGTGGGAGTTAATAGTAATAAATCGTATAAAAGAAAAAAAAAAAGAAAAAGAAGAGATAATATATGCACACATACTAGAAGTATTGTATATATGTATGTCGTGTGATTCGTTCACCTAACGTAGCGTATAATCATGGCATTTATATTCACTCACCATTGATATTAAGCGAGGATTGATCCACGCCTGCTGCATGTTATCGTCGAGATACCTCTTTGCTATTCGAGCGATGTTTTCATGGGACTCCTTTTTTTGTGATTGTGGTGGTGGTACTACAACAGGCGGGCCTACGTCGAAGTTGGCATTGTTTCTAAAACAGAAAATGCGTTACGTGTGAAGCAACGTATCCTGAACATATTACAACTGTGTACACTGCCGACTAAAAGTGTTGGAATCACAACGTAAATTTAGAAAAAACAAGATATTTATTATATAGACAAAAATAAATGCCATTTGGAATAACCAACATTTACGATATGTATGTTTTATATTTTTAATTATATCACTTGATCAAGGAATTAACATTTTTCTTTAGAAAAAATGAAAAAATACCGACTTTATTTTTAATGACACCCTGCCATTTTTATTATTTTTTCGTGTATATCTAATATAATATTTTTTCTATACTTTTTGTAAAAGTTGTCAAAGATCTTTAAGTAGGAACGTTTAATTCCGAGCATTGCCTTAAATTGGGTCTATAAACCTTACAACAGTATTTTGGATATTAGAAAATGCTGAAATCTCTTTAAACATAATTCATCTCATTAATATTTGATATAATAATTATATATTCAACTTTTACTGTAATCAGCAAATGACTCCAAACTTTTGGCCGGTAGTGTATACATGTATGTATGAATATAAGTATGTATATAATATATGTATGATATATGTATGTACGTTCAAAGATCTCCAATGGTAGGCGTGATGCATCGAGAAATCGTGATTACTCGTTATGCCGCATAAATCGATTTGTGAAATTGCTCGAGGAGAGAAAATACTTACGTGCGAATGTTCGAAAAAGGAAAATCGTACTTACCTATGTATATACATGTATAACTTACTATATATATATATATATGTATACATAGATATATAACGATGCATGTTAAAGCATGAATTCTCAAGGATCGCTTTTAACATCCTTTTCGAATTACTTCGCCATAAAGAGAATTTAATTGCGTCAGCTAATGTCCTCCTTTTGGTAATAAATAATGATCATCGGCTTTCTTTGTAGTCAGCAATATGCTGTATGACGATCGAGAGAATTCTTTTTAAGAAGTAACATCTTTCAATGTGATTAAAATATAGAGAATAAATATTGAAAGAGAAAGAGAGAGAGAGAGAAAAAAATAAAATAGAATCAAAGGTGATGAAGTTTGTCGTGAAGTGTGTTCACACACACGCAGATACTGTATTTATTTAAATTTATTTATTTTATATACTATTTTCAAAATGTATTTTTGATTGCAACGTACATATAGAAATATTTGCAAAAATACGAGAAAAAAAGAAAACTTTTATTATAAATGCAATGTTTATATCGATCTTGGGGTATTTTAAATATTTTCATTTTATTTATAACATTATATTTCAAAGTATTTTCGAAAGATCCTTTCAAATAATAAAATATAAAAAAAAACTTATGTTTTACGACCTATAATAATATTCAATTTCAATTTTTAATTCGGTTTGATCTCAATATGATTATCTTCTTTGGTGAAAACTCTCTCTCTCTCTCCCTCTCTTTACGATTAACTCGAAGATAAATTATTAACAGGAAAAGGACGTCTGCTCATGTGAAGCAGTGGAATCATTATAGAACAAGAGAACACGAAATTAACGATCCCCTGTACATCGACCATGCGTCAAACTGAATCCATTGTGTAACGGCAATACCATCAGCATCGTCAGTCAACGAGCATCATCATCGTTGCTTCGGTCATCTACGTTGCCTGACCGCGCAGAACCAGAAGGGAATCATTACGGATACAACAGTCACGGTATGCGATATCTCGATTGGATGGCTACGAAAGGGAGTGCAAAAGGTAAATTGCTATGCACAATAAATTCGTATCATTGAAATTATTTATATATATATACGTTTCATTTCTATTCTTAAGTAATATATTTTCTAATGGTTCCTTGAAAATTTCTTAGAATAACTGTAAATACAAATTTTGATAAGTATCACTTTCTTCCAAAAATATATTATATACACATAATATTACATATTGTAAATATCGATTTTTTACAAGAACATTGAAACATTATTAATAATAAATCGAAATCTCTTGAATAAAATGTTTGTAAATGAACTTATTACAATTAATATAAATGAATATAAAAATGTAATAATAAACGAAGATGGAAACACGTTACTAAAACAGTAATCAGTGAGTGAAGGTAATTCAATTTCGCTAGGTAACCGTCTGTAATCTATTTGCGAACAACCAGAGACAGCGTGATCGTAATCCGTACTTACTACAATATCGTGTAAGAGAGAGGTAAGTGAATTACGAGTTCAACCTAACTCCGTTGTCCTGTGCACGCAGTCGCGTCGTCGCGAAACAGCTGTTAGTTTAGGTCTCCTTAGTTAAATTATGACCGGAACCTTCCAAACCGACGAGATAATTGACCGTCCACGGATTGACGCTTTCTCAACAAAACATCAATAATTCCTTCAACGTGTTCTAACTTGTCAAACTTTCGATAGGATTAAATCTTAGTAAAATAATAACGTTTTCTCTATTTAGAGAAACACAAAAAAAAAACCTTTTTCTTTATTATAAATTACAACATCTTATATTTAATCTTACCAGAATTTAATAATATAAAATTATTAATATAAATTGTAGTATAAAATTATGATAACATTATTATTATTTTAAATTATTATAATATTCTTTCAGCCT